TGATCTATGCTAATTAAGAACAACTAGCATGTCCTTTCAATTTACAAGGAGAATGGGATTCATCATTATAAAAACACATTTACGAACAATTCTGGTGTCTGAATGCAGGGTCAGGCCTGGGGCAGGGTGGGGGGTCAGTGTCCAACGGAGATGTGATTATGGACTTGAAACAGCTAATTTCTAATCATTCACCCAGAAGCTTAACCTGCTAAGCCACACACTGCACCCCAAAATAATAAGACACAATAAAAATAAGAAATGTACTAAAAAAATAAGAAAACAAAAAGGACAATAAGTACGGAAGTCTGTAGAGGACATGCATAAACTTTTTTTTTTCTTTTTGTTACCTTGTTACTTATGTTTTTCTTATTTTTTTAAGCCGACATCTTTCAAACATCTCCCGGTAACCATGGAGACGTCCCGGACACTCTAGTTGGTTGGTAATGAAACTGACTACTCGTTCAGGCGCACTATAATTTCTCCGACGGTATAGCTGCAAATTTCTGAGGCTCCTTCTCAAATGACGAACACTAATATGACAATTTTCTGCCACCGACAGAAAGTGTTATCTCCTCGTATCCATGATTTGGTGCAATATATCTCGACTTTTTCCCACAGTTTGAAGTCTAACTTGGTTTTACAAACAAGTGCAATATAACCACTTATGATATTGGTGCAATATACTTTTACTTTACTGTGCAATATACACTTTTACTTTTCTTGTAACTTTTGGACAAAGGTACTTTAGATTCCTGTACAGAGATTTTCTATCTTATTTTATTTTTATCTTATTTATTAGAATGTTTAACAGTGCCACAATTTGTTTTATACTTCATTCCTATTTTTATACTTATATTGTATTGTTCGTGTCTTCGTGTTTATATGTGATTGTGCAGTCGCAATGTGAGCAATTTCCCACGGGATTAATAAAGTCTTCTGATTATGATTCTGATTGTGAGTGGGACAGTCCATGATCAAAGTAAAATCTGATGCATTCCTCCATGAGGATAATACTAAACCTGTCGCGAGATCATGGGAAAGTGATATGGGTTATGTCGTGATCACGAGAAAAATAAGTCGTGATCTCGAGATAACGAAAAGAAAAAAAAAAGTTTATGCATGTCCTCTACAGACTTCCGTACACTAAGAGTAAAAGACAAAGTAACATACTGTACTGGTTGTTGAACACCTCAAGAGACACATTTTCTTCTAGGTCTGACAGTTGAATTTCTTCCCGATCTTTTCCATTTTTCCAGAATTCGAAGGCAACTTGCTTAATTCTCTCTCCACCTGCCTCACTGTACAAATGATAAGAAACCAATTATACTGATTTTCACTGAACCTAGCAACTGAACTCTTAAATAAAAAATACACATGAAAATGCCAAACCTCAAAAACAAACACAAGGGGGTCACATGGCTCCAGTGCAGAATGGCGGGTTGAGTAAGACGCTCCATGCAACTTAACATAAGACTTACTCTAAAAACCCTAAAACGAATGTAAACTTTAAGACTGTTCAGTGAGATTATGTCTACTACACCAGTGAGTAAACAATGCAACATTTTTTACAAGAAAACACAAAACTGCAACAGAAAAACCGAAATTGCTAACTGCTGAAATGGGTTCTGCTAATATGGCAGATCTGACGAGTGTTTTGACTGAGCTCAAAGCACTTCGTACAGAGTTCAGCTCGAAGCTGGACGGGATTGAGAGGCACATACAGTAAGTGACGTGTCCAGTTCTGTAAAATCTCTGGAGAATAGTTTGTCTGTAGTTAAACATGCTGTTGAATCAAATGAGAAACAAATCAACGAAACAAAAAGTCGTATCACAGAGCTGGAAGCCGAGCATAAAAACAGGGTGTCCACGTTAGCAGCAGCGACCAAATGGCTTGCTTACCTAGAAGCCAAGATGGACGACCTGGAGAAACCGAGCAAGGAGAAAGAATCTTCGACTCTTTGGACTCAAAAAGACAGCCAAGGGTTCATGTCCTCTTTTTGACTTTGTAAACACCATGCTTCCACAGTGGCTCGGAATGTCATCGGATGTATCGTTCACGCTGGAGTTCATCGCACGCTAGCTCTAATAAAGCCAAACCAGCATAGAGGTGTGCTCGTCAGATTTCTTAAGTTTCAGGAGAGGGAATCAGTCTTTCGCTCCTTTATGAAGTGCTTCGAGAGACTGGTTCTCCAGCACATCAAGGACTATCTCCCCCAAGACTTCGATCCCTACCAGTTTGCATCCAGGGACTCCTAACAGATCCACAGAAGATGTCATCGCCGCAGCTCTCCACTCTGCACTGAGCCATCTGGAGCGGCAGCAGAGCTACGTCCGGATGCTCTTTGTGGATTACAGCTCGGCGTTTAATATAATCATCCCTGATATTCTCATCACCAAACTGGTCACTCTAGGCCTCCCCCCTCTCACATGTGTCTGGACAAAGGACTTTCTTACCAACTGACCCCAGATTGTGAGACTCGGCCCCCACCTCTCC